AGAGAGAGAGAGAGAGAGAGAGAGAGAGAGAGAGAGAGAGAGAGAAATGTATTTACCAGTGTGTAAAGAACTGTGAGTAAAGGCTAGGGAACTATGTGAAGTAAAAGCTGCTTATACTTATTCAACCCACAAATTCCTTGAAAGCTTAAAGGCTGAGAGAATTGTATTGTGTATAAATTGAGATCCCTTTCCAATGGGAAGCAGTGAGCAAAGGCATCTCACTGAGTTCTGCCATATAGTTCTATTGCTAATTGCATTATGCCATTATAAATCATCTCAGCTCGTAACTAGTTTACATGGTGTGCGTGTGATAGGGTTGATGTGAGTAGATCAGTAAAAATGCATGTTACAAAGGGCTTAAAGTACACCAGTCATTATGTGCTGCGGAGAACAATGCTCACGGTATGTCATATACACTATGTTGGCAAAAGTATTGGGACACCCCTCCAAATCAGTGAATTCAGGTGTTCCAATCACCTCCATGGCCACAGGTGTATAAAATCAAGCACCTAGGCATGCAGACGCTTCTACAAACATTTGTGAAAGAATGGGTCGCTCTCAGGAGCTCAGTGAGTTCAAGCGTGGTACCGTGATAGGTTGCCACCTGTGCAATAAGTCCATCCGTGAAATTTCCTTGTTACTAAATATACAACGGTCAACTGTTAGTGGTATTACCACAAAGTGGAAGCAACTGGGAACAGCAGCAACTCAGCCACGAAGTGGTAGGCCACGTAAAATGACAGAGCGAGGTCACCGCATGCTGAAGCACACGGTGCACAGAAGTCGCCAACTGTCTGCAGAGTCAATAGCTACAGACCTCCAAACTTCGTGTGGCCTTCAGACTGGCACAGACTGGCACAACAACAGTGCATAGAGAGTTTCATGGAATGGGTTTCCATGGCCGAGCAGTTGCATCCAAGCCTTACATCACAATGCAATGCAAAGCGTTGGATACAGTGGTGTGAAGCACGCCGCCACTGGACTCTAGAGAAGTGGAGACGTGTTCTCTGGTGTGGCGACTCACGCTTCTCTGTCTGGCAATCCGATGGGCATGTCTGGATTTGGCAGTTGCCAGGAGAACAATACTTGCCTGACTGCATTGTGCCAAGTGTAAAGTTTGGTGGAGGGGGGATTATGGTGTGGGGTTGTTTTTCAGGGGTTGGGCTTGGCCCCTTAGTTCCAGTGAATGGAACTCTTAAGGCATCAGCATACCAAGACATTTTGGACAATTTCATGCTCCCAACTTTGTGGGAGCAGTTTGGGGATGGCCCCTTCCTGTTCCAACATGACTGCACACCAGTGCACAAAGCAAGGTCCATAAAGACATGGATGAGCCAGTTTGGGGTGGAGGAACTTGACTGGCCTGCACAGAGTCCTGACCTCAACCAGATAGAACACCTTTGGGATGAATTAGAGCGGAGACTGCGAGCCACACATTCCTAAACCTTGTGGACAGCCTTCCCAGAAGAGTTGAAGCTGTTATAGCTGCAAAGGGAGGGCCAACTCAATATTGAATGCACCAGACTAAGACTGGCATGCCATTAAATTTCATGTGCATGTAAAGGCAGGCGTCCCAATACTTTTGGCAATATAGTGTATGTCAGTGCTGTTCTCTGCATCATTGTATTTTGAGCCAAGGCTGAGGTAATGACACATCCCCAAGGGTGTATCCATGAAGGTCTGGACTCAAAGAAAGTGGTTTCATTCAAATTGTAAGAGAACCTGAGGATGACAGGAGAGGAGGAAGATGAGGATGGAGGAGACTGCAGAGGGCAGTGCAGGAACATGAGAGCAAGAGAGCAAGGCTTTGCAGGTTTTCTTTATTTTTATTAGAGCATTATAGGACAGCAATCAAAATAAACCATTAAAAGCTGGAGATGAGGTTTAACTTAAATTTTGTTTTTGGGTGAACTGACTCTATAATCACAAATGATCTGTGTAATATGCAGAACCACAGGGGATTACCCAGCTACATTACCTGATCAATGATTCATTCTCTACAGGACACCAGGCGTATATCTCACATGTGGAATGAGTGCTGTTCAGTGCTACACATCGCCCTGTTTTCACACCTGCAGACAAAAAAATTGAATTTGGGAGACAACTGCTAACATTTCCCAGCCTCAGTGGGTGGAATTAATAAAAACTGGAGCAGACAAAATCTGGATCAGTTGCCCATAGCAACCAATCAGCTTCTCTCTTCAGTTTCCTCAGTTAAGCTTTGAAGATGAAACAGAGAAGCTGATTGGTTGCCATTTGCACAGATTCTGTCTACTCCAGTTTTTATGAATTTCCCCTATTGTTGCTTGTACAGTGGCCTTGTTCAGTGCACCAAATGCTGCCTATATGTTCTACACAGCAAAATTCGAATGATAAAATCTATAATAATCCAAAATCCAAGTTTTTTTTACAGGCCACTTAATAGTAGCAAATGACAGGTGAGAAGAGACTTAAGCTTGTCATAGATTTACAAGTGCTGCTGGCATATGTTTTTGAGTTTTTTTACTTAAGGTATACAACCAAGTATCAAGGAGGACACCCATAAATAGCAGGTGAAACAGGCATTGCTAATGATAGCCAGGTAATTACTGGAAAGTATATTGTTTCAAACTGTGTAGAAATGTCCTTGCAAAAATAATATTTCTAATACACAGATATGTTAATGTTGTAAAATCTCTACACAGTTGACTGTTTCTTTTGCCATGGAGAGACAGTAACAAATCTATCTTTGCATGTGCAATGATTTTTCATCCTGTACATGGAAAATTATGTTTGGTGCATTTATGGACACAGCACTCAAAGTGAGTGTGTTTTCGCTGTAAAAAGACTGGTTACCTGAAAAAGGACTGCTCAACCTGGAAAGCTGAGCAGCAAAAGCGAGAGGCACTTACAAGAGAGAGAGCTAAGGCAACTACAAAGGAAACTGCAGGCACATCATTGAGCGCTACCTTTAAAGTGACTAAGAACAGTATACCACGCGGATGGTGTATTGACTCAGGTGCAACAAGCCACATGACTAGTGATGAGACCTTTTTCACAGAAATTGATTTCAGTTCAAATGACAAAGTCTTCCTAGCAACTGGGAAAAGTATTACTCCAGAAGGTAACGATCATGGATTCTTGAACTGCATCACACTGTCAAGGGACACTGTTCCTTGTGAAAAATGTACTGTATGTCCTAGATCTAGAAGGAAGCCTTCTATCAGTGAAACCCCTTGTTAATAACGGCCTTACAGTTGAGTTCCGAGGTGATGAATGTACAATTCGAAACAATAAGCAAATCCTCGCAAAAGGAAAATTGAATGAACATCTGTACACACTCATCATTGCAGATGAACTGTCTTAGCCACTCATAATCCACACAACACATGTATCCATCTATGGCACAGATGACTAGGGCACCGAAACCCAGAAGCCATAAAGGACAATATAAAGAGAGGCTTATCAAATTATATAACCGTACTGCCCTGCCAAATGCTCATGACATGCAAATGCTGTATGGAAGGATAGGCAACACGTACCCCACTTCCACAGGCCAACCAAAGAAAATTAACCCACCCCATGTTGCTCATGCACAGCAACGTGTGCGGACCAATGAAAACTCCCACATCAGGCAAGAACCGATATCTATAGACTTTCATTGATGATTATTCCTGGTACACAACAACTTATCTGATGAAGCACAAGAATGAACTTCAAGAGTTTGTATTCATGTCCAGCAACAAATTCCAACACAAACCAGGAATTATACGCAGCAACAACAGAAGGGCATACATCAGTAAGGCAGTGGAATCATATCTGAAGAAACAGGGTATAGTTCACCAGACCACCACACCATACACTCCTGAACAAAATGGTGTAGCAGAACGAAAAAATTGCACTCTTATAGAAATGGCCAGATGCATGTTGTCAGATGCCAACCTACCTAAGAAGTACTGGGGAGAAGCAGTCATGACTGCAACATACCTACAGAACATAGAAACAGGGACACCGGCACTCCAGTTGCAATGCAAAAACTTCTATTTATTGACGTGGTGCAGCATATCATACAAATGCGTTTGTCAATAAATAGACGTTTTTGCATTGCAACTGGAGTGCCGGTGTCCCTGTTTCTATGTATGTATGTAATGCCTGCCACCCGTTGATCACCGCAGCACCCATTTTGTCTTTTTTTGGAGTAGGCGGTCAGGAGTGCGATGGGTTCATCGACTCTCATACCTACAGAACAGACTGCCATCAAAAGCCATTGAGAGCACCCTATTTGAAATGTGGCATGGATCGAAGCCTAACCTAGGACACATTAGAGTGTTTGGATGTGTAGCTTACACCTAAAATCTCAACAAGATCCAAAAAAATCCAAATTGGAGAACACAGCCATAGAAGGTATTCTGGTGGGCTATAGTGAACAAAGTAAGGGATATAGAATCCTCCATTCAAAGACCGACAAAGTGACAATAAGCCACAGCGTTTATTTAGAGGAGAACCCATCACCAGAAATAATAATCCCGGGAAGTTGTGAAGTGAATTCGCTCAGTGAACCAGCAAACTACTGAATGTATAAGTCAAGTTCCATGTTAAGTTCTGGTGAACAACCTGAAATTAGAAGATCCACTCGGGCAACAAAGGGGATATCACCCTACACAAAGTAATATACTGCTAAGACACATAGCATTCTTGAACCAACATCATAGGAAGACAAATCAATGGAGAAGGCAGCGGAAAAGGAAAAAAAACACTCCACCATCAGAGCACTCCTTAGCATTGCAGCAATGAAGGGCATGCAAGTGAGACACCTAGACGTTAAAACCGCTTTCCTATATGGAGACATTAAGGAAGATGTCTACTTGGAGCAACCACTAGGGCTTGAGCAAGGACACAACCTTGTGTGTAAACCTCAAAACAGCATCTATGGACTCAAGCAATCTGCAAAAATGTGAAATGAGAAAGTGAATGAAATACTCACAAAATAGGGATTCACAAGAAGCAAAGCAGATCGCTGTCTTTATTCCAGGAATCAAGAAGACAGACAGATATACATCCTAATTTATGTTGATGACATTATAACTTGTTTTGAACAAGAAGGGGACTATAGTCAAATAGAATGGAAGCTATCTGCTCAACTAAACTCAGAACATTGCAGAAATGTTGGAACAATTCCACGTGCAAAATGCAAAAGAAGTAAAAAAACCTATAGAACCAGGCTGCCAATAGACCAAGACATTATTGACATTAAATATTGCTAATCAGAAAAAATGAATGCGGATGCACTCACCAAGCCATTGCTAAAGGATCATTCCAGTTTCCTTCGAGAGAAGCTAAACACCATGTAGTAAAGCATATGCTGTTGAGAAGGTGTGTTGGAAATACAACAGCAGATACTGATATATATTTTGAGCTGTAGATGGCGCTATAGTGCAATGTTAGTCTCTATGTGCATGCTTATCTAGGATACACCGGAAGCTTTTTTTACAATGCCATATTCATACATGTATTGCTCTTCTAAGCAAGTAAAACTTAATTTAGCATTCCTCAAGATCTCAGTGCTTTATCTGAACACATAACCAACACTCTGGGGGGCCAGCATGTAACAACGGACTTTGGTGACTTAGATGTATATTTTGCATATATTGTATATTGTATATGTATATTTTATAAAGTCTCAAAAGAGATACTGGCATTGAGGAAATTTTGTGTAAATGTCTTCTTCCAGAGAGAATATTACATTTTGATAACTCCTAATTTTGTTTTATGCACTATTATTTATAGTTTACTCCACATAAACATGCCTATCAAGTTGTTCTGGAAAAGTGACAGAAGATGGCATGTTTCAGGGGTTTTGAAATTTTTCCAGTTTAAAGAAAAGGCTTTATACTATGCAAAAAAGAATTTATGTCAAAAGAAGGACACCATTGCAAGCAACACTGCCAGTGTTACAATTTGACCCAACCTCTGCTACTGTCACAAGCTGGACGGATTATATAAATATGGAGAAATATAAATAAATGCATGTGCAATTAAGATCAAATGAACACACTAAATACTATAATGACAAATATTAACCGCATACATTTATTAGAACATTTATTTACAATAAAGGTCCTTTAACAAGCTTCTTGGCTGCTTAGGGAGACTTTACAATAGGAAGGCAATAAGGAGAGGAAGGATGAAGACAGCTGCTCCAGAAAAGTGGTGTACCATTACCAATTAATACCTGCTGTATATGTTATAATGAAGAGAAAAACAAGCAGTGGGTTCCCCCCGCAGAAAGGTGCCACAATACTCCATAAATGAAGACTTACTTAGCCCATAGCTATGTTTCTGGCTGCATGATTTATTTATATGAAAATATTACCATTTCCACTTATCACATGTTCTCCAGGTTGACAGTCCAAGTCTTCACCACACCTACCATCTAAAATCAAAGGGCTCTGTAAGACAAACATTAAGTGAACATTTGAGTCTGCGTCATACGTAGTTGTTCTACAGTTCCCCACGATAGTAACACAATTACACTTTAAAGGTGGTATAACAAATAGTGCAAAGACAAAGGGAAATGCCTGTTTTACCTCTCCTAAAATGACAGTAAATGTCCGACACTAAGCTGCGTCAGGGGTCTAACCAGGCAATTAACCATGACTCCATTGGACATCTGGGAACAACAGGCCATAAACGCTGAAACTCTATGCAACCTACTTATGGTTTGCCTTAAGTTTTCCAAGCTGTGCTTCCGCTTTTTTAAAAGGGAGCTCACTCCATACTGTCACTGTTCATCTTAGTGTTTGTTAGCTTTTGGGCATCACTCATTTGCTCTTTCTCAGAATGAGCTTGTTTGAAAAAAATGCCTCTACCTATATCTATGACTACTATGCTTCTGTCTCATCTTTGGAACCATCGATGTGCGTCTTTTTCTGAGGCTTCTTTTAATTTACCCAGTACTGTCTACCATTTGGTTGAGAGTTGCTGCCCACTAGCCGCAATGTTCCACTATGGGGCTATATTCCCCTGTCCAGGGTATACAACAATTACATACTCTTAAGAAGAAAATGTGTAAAACACACCACAATGTCCATATTAATAAATAAGAAACAATACCAATGTGTCAATCCTTTGGAAAACAAAAACAATCTATTTTTTTTTCCAGATTTGATACACCAGTGTCTTTCTCACTTATTTGATGTTATCAGTGTTCAGTCTGTGTTTTACCAATCCACCATGCTCTCACCCCAAGGAAACAAAAGACCGTGATAACAAAGGTCTAACAACACAAATCCCTTATTGGAAAAGCTTAAACTTATACTGGATATTCCCTCCTCTCTTAACTATCCCATAAGCTGACCATACCAGTAGAATTTCTTTTGTGTTTGATGGGGTCAAATCAATGATCAATTTCAACCACAGTGATGACAAAAGTCGAAGGAGCAGGTTGAAAAAAATCTTCTCCAATTAACTAAATTCTAACAGTGAATGTATTTTTTTGTTCAGGAAACTCCATTTATTCAGAAATTAAATGTTAAATCAAAATGTCAAACAAGATTTTGGATGACATTTGTGAAGTCTCTGATGGCATTATCAAATGATCCGTAAAGATCTTTCGTACGGATGTTCATTCACAAATCTGCCAGTGTGTGGCCAGCTATAGAGTCCTCCTCTCCCAATGGTTGTTGTCATAAATAGAACAAAACACGTCAAAGTGCTTACTGTATAAAATATTTATTAAAACATCAAATAATTCACATAAAATAGTGCATAAGATGATCCCAAATGCTAAAAAAAATGGTGGAAATCGTAGTAGGCCCCTGACGTAGGATGGCGTCAAGTGATGTCACAATAGGTGGAGGATGGACACATGCAGCAGGAGGTGGTCAGAGCTGGTGTCCATTGGTTTGGATTTCCACTACACTTGAGCATTTGGGATCATCATGTGCATGATCGGTGCACTATTTTATGAGAATTATTTGATATTTTAATAAAAAGATTTTAATCTTTTTCCTTGGAGGTGAGAGAACGGTTGATGGGAAGAAAAAAGAAAACTTGCCGCACTCCTTACCGGGACTCCCCACAAAAATACGGATGCTCGAAATGACTGCGGATGGCGCCGCCACACATAGACAAAAAGGAAGACGTCACCAGCACTCCAACAACAATAATAACAGCAATTAGATGCTCATTTATTGGGTCCCACAGGGTCTTCTTCGCCAGGCTCAGAGATGACCTCATGACGTCATCTCTGAGCCTGATGAAGGGGACCCTGTGGGGCCCCGAATGCGCTTGCCAATGAGAGACAGCATCTGTCAATAAATGAGCATCTAACTGCTGTTATTATCGTTGTTGGAGTACTGGTGACGTCTTCCCTGTTGATGGGAAGAACACGGACTGAACACTGATAACATCAAATAAGTTGAGATAGACACTGGTGTATCAAATCTGTATTTATCTTTCACCTGGGTGCAAACACTTGAACTGTGAAGGACATTTGTTATATGTTTTGATGCCCTTTTCACAAGTTATACACATTGTTTTTGTTTGTCAAAGGATTGACACATCACTATTTTTTCTTATCTATTAATATCGACATTGTGGTTTGTTTTACACATTTTTTTTCTTGAGAGCATGGCACAGATTTTTTTAGATCATTTTTAGGAGAACACATAGGTTCAATTAATGCTTGCAGCCACTATTAATTGAGGAACTCCAGGAAAACTGTTTCATAACCCCTGCAGTTGAGCTATCCCACACTGCAAGGGCTAAGTGATCATTTTTGTCTAGGTTAAAAAAATAACAGAGATATACTCACCCATATCCCCAAGCAAGCCAGCTGTCACAGCGCTCCCTCCAGCCTGTTTCCTCCTACCCAGTAGCATTGGAATCTTCATCAGTGTCCTCACGCCTATACACTGTATATAGACGTGATGATTTACAGGACCTTAGGGCTCAGTCACACCAGATCCAGTGCGTTCCGGCCCGATTCTGGCCAGAACACACTGCATCGCATTGCGGCCAGCTCACTATGTTGTGAGGCAGGAGGGGGCATGGCCATCTTTTAAAGTGAATGGCACCGTAGCCATGCCCTCCGGCTGAAATGCGATCAGCCGCACAGGATCGCAAGGCACATTATGCCTGCGGCCAGGTCCGAACAAAATAGTGCTTGCAGCATTTTGTTCGGACTGGACCGCAGGCATAATGTGCCTTGCGATACCGTGCGGCCAATTGCATTGCGTTCCCTTCAATGGATCGCCACGCCCCCTCCTGCCCCACAAAAAGTGAGCCGGCCGTAATGCGAGGCAGAGCGTTCTGGCCAGAATCGGGCCGGAACGATCTGGTGTGAACAAGGCCTTAGACTGCTGCAGCGGAGTAGGAGAGACACTGGTCCAAGAGCAAGCCGGCTCAGAGAATCGGATGAAATTAACTTTTTTTTAAAGAGCAGTGCGGGGGTAGCCCCACTGCAAGGGTTAATAATATATTTTCCTGAAGTTCTTTTTTAATTATACTAGTGCAGTATATTTATTTAATTGATAAAACAATTACATACTGTAGATATGTGAAAGTACCAATACAGCTTTCTAAACAGCTATAGGTAAGGAGCTGTACGGCAGTATTAACAGAGCCTGAGCTACCGTGTTTCCCCGAAAATAAGACACTGTCTTATATTTTTTCCCCCCAAAAAAAAACACACTAGGTCTTGTTTTCGGGGGATGTCTTATTTTTATTTTTTTCCCCATTGAGCATCCCCTCCACATACTTTTTTTTCTACCACAATTTAAATAAGAGATAAAATATGCTGTGGAGGCGGAGGCACACAGGTGTCACACAGAGCAGAGATATGGAATGTATTGTATCACACAGTACCTGAAGGCTGCAGCTGTCCTGGAGCTCTCCTCTCTGATGCCGTCCAGGGAGCCACCTCGTCGCACGGACCAGTCAGAAGTTCCCTCACCTCCCCTGACCTCACTCCGACCCCACTGGCCATGCCGCTGCCTGCTGGGAAATGTAGTTTTCAGCGGCAGCTTTCTATGTACCATAATAGCCGAAATAGGTCTTATTTTGGGGGTAGGTCTTATATTACAGAAATCTCTGAAGATAGCGCTAGGTCTTACTTTCGGGGTAGGTCTTATTTTCGGGGAAACACGGTAGCACCTTACAACATGCACACAAGGTTTGCCTTTTATCAACCAACATAAGTGTTACAGGCATGTATTTTATATTTCTTTTTAAAGATATCATTTGGTTAAAAACACTGCCATTTATTTTATGTATGAAATGTGCACTTTATTATATTTGTTTTTGTACATAATAAAAGTTACCTTCCTATAATAATCATGTTCTGCACAGTGTGTCCTTTCACACATAATAAAAGGTCAGTCTATTGAAAGGTACAGGACAGATGATACACACAGTATATAGGGAGTGCCGTCTCACCTCTGGACATAAACCTAGCACTTGTCGTGGTGTGGAGATAAAATTTGTCACCAAGAAAAGGACATTTTCTCCCTACAATAAAAAGAAAGAAAGGTTACACATCTGGTCAAACAGTATCACTAAGAAACACTGAAATCTGGCTATTTTGTTGTTAGTGGAAGGTAATGTGGGCTCTGGTTATAGAATTATACAAAATAAAGGGGGTGATCCAACTCACTGAAGGACGGCTGGTATATTTTCCCTGCCACCCTACTGACTTTAGCAGGGAATCCTTTAACCGATTAACTGGCAGCAGCAGAGAGATTGCAAGAGGAACTTCCCAGCGATGAATCATAACTGCAAGACTGCAAATATAATTCTATGAAGTCAGCAACCACTAAAACCATGAGGAATTTTGGGTGGAGAGTTAAAAAAGGAATAAATGTATTACTTAGTTCATAATGCCTCCTTCACCGCTAAATGTATTTAAAGGGAGCCTGTCATGAGGCAAAATAGTGTGAGAAGCCTCAGACTGAAGTTGTTCTTCTCCAACTCCAGAATAGCATTTTAGTTCCAGGACAGCAAAATCACTTACAGTGAATAGTTGCGCTAATTTAGAACTACCGTACAAAAAAGGAGTCAGAGAATGTCACCATCTGAGTCTTCTAGTCTAGTGTCTTCTTCCTTCGGCCACTGGCCCGCAACCAATGATGGAACTCCTGTGAATTACAGCCAGGGTGTCCCTAAGCCTTTTTTGCCGCCTGAGGCTGCTGGGAGGGGGGTGGTTGGGGTGTTGTTGGATGGTGCATAATCAGTGTGTGTGTGCTGTTGGTGCTGGTGGAGAGTGATGCTGCTAAAAGCCAGACGGGAGATGTGTAAGGGCTCGCATCTCCCCGCCCAGCTGTTAGTAACCTGGGACTCTCTTGCTGGTGTCACGCCGAGATCCTGGCAACCAGTGACATCACTGTTTCTCAGGAGCTCGGCAGGACAACAGCAAGAATGTCCCAGGTTACTAAGAGCTGGGAAAAGAGATGTGTATGGCCCTTACACATCTCCCTGCCAGACTCTTAGCAACCTGGGATGCTCTGTCCGGAAAGAGAATGGTAGGCACACTACAAACATTGTGCAGTGGTCATGCCGCTTTTTCTGCCACCCTTCCCCACATGACCCACTGAGATGCCACCTGAGGCAAGAGCCTCAGTCTACTTCATTATAGGGAAGGCCCCAGGTTCCAGCACCCAGCTCCACATTATGCCAGGAGTGGGCTAGGAGTGTACACTTAATTGCACATGCACGACATGCAGTGCACACAAAGAAAAAAATTGATAGCAGGCAAGTAAAGATGCATTTTTTTTACAAAGTCTCTTCTACTGCCTGGCAATTGTATTTATTTTTTTCTTTTACTTTAGTTGCGCTTTAAATAACTGAATATATTTTGATACCTGCTCCCTTTAATCCCCTGTACAGCAGCACTCAGACTGGCATAAAAAGGAGCAACACTATAAGCCAGTCAGAGCTCTATTGCTTTGCACAATGCTGTCAGTCAAACATGTGAACATGCTTAGAGGAGGGTAAGACACAGTGATGACCTCATGAGCGTGCTGTTGCTCATTTAGTAACGAGTTAGAGAATGCTGCATCTGTAATCTGCACTTTTATTATTCATTTCATGAAGGGGGGGGGGTGATTCATACATGGCAGCTTTTATTATCAAAGTAGAGTGACCTTTTAATGTCAGAATAGAACATTTCTAACAAGACAGTGACAGACTTGTATTTTACATGAATAAAAGGTAGGAATAACCAGAATCTTAGAGTACATTGTTACTAGAAAATGCAGGCAAAATGGAGATATTATGAGTTCTCAACTAGTGTATTTCAACTTTTGCAGTCACATTTGAGAAAACCCCTCTATATGTTGTTATGCGTTCCTATTCACACAGTATGCTGAAAACTAATTTTAAAAAAATATTTACTTTTTTGATGTTTTGTTGCAGCAGACAAAAATGGCTGATTCCAGGTTTTTCTGAACACCTTCACAGTGATATGTCCTTATAGAAAGACTTAGGACTAAATTTGAGGATTGTGTTTCATTAACATACAATAGAGAACCCCCTCATCGCTCACAGCCCCTCCTAGCATTACAAAAGAAAAGCAAGTACACATTTTAACCCTTAAGAAGCCAGGAAACTATAACCCAAGTAAAAGCAACTTAAACTGCAAAAAACAATTTGAAATTTTTTTTTCCGCTTATGCTATGAGAATGGGGACATATAGCAAAATTTGGCTGCAAAAGTGGAAATACACTTCAAGAACCTGCTCTCTTTGTCTCCCAGCAGGAGAGCTCTCGATCAACCCATTGTAGGCAGTCAGTGACCTCAAACAAAACAAAAAGCTTTATGCAATCTTCCTGCTGTTTGGTGACATTCTATTGATGAACCGTAGATAAACTGAGACACGTTTCACATGGCTGTGCTGATTCAGAAATTATAAGCATGTATCATCGATAAACTCGCTGGAGCATGAAACAGGTTTCAGTTCAGCTTTTCTTTTATTGAGAGTTCATAAAACTCCTGCGTCTTATAATAAGCACAGTTCAGTACTTCAAGTTAAGTGTTTTATATATTTATTTTTTTTGCATAAATATTAACACAACTACACATACAAGTTGAATTGCACATGTCTGCATCTTGCAAAATGTGTTCATAGTATTGATGTTACAAGGATTTGTATGGCACTTACAATCATTGTAGATTTGGCAAATCATGAGCATACATATGAGAATTGGTGTATTATCACAATGTAGTTATTAAAATGCAGCCTTTTCTTTTTTTAAAGAGAACTTAGGGGTAACCTTTAGCTTTGCCTGTAGTTCTCTTCAGGGTCACAGGAGGACATATACTAATGTATACTAATGTCCTCCGGTAATGTATACATTAGCAATCTATACTAATGTCCTCCGGTGACCCAAAACTCAGCATATAGCTGGCTATTGCCCGCTATATACTGAAAGCGCAGAGCCGTTCCGCAGCCGGGACGGATCTCCACAATACTGTCGAGATCCACCACGCTGGCTGATTGACGCTGGCTCAGCCTCTCTAGAAGCAGAGCCAGCTGTGCCCGCCCCTTTCTCCGTCCGTTCCTCCAGTCGGAGAAGGGAGAAATCCTTGCGGGGAGCAGTGACTGACGGTCACTGCTCTCTGCAGGGAGAGGATCAGGAAGTCAGCGATCAGCATTATGTGTTCACTGACTTCCCGATCAATACAGCCGACAGTGTCACAGATCGGCTTGAGTTATGGGAGTGTTTTTCACTCACCTCATAATTCTCCTTCAAAGACAACCAGTTAGATTTAACTGAACCTGATATCCACTCAGTAACGTTGAATGGACATCTGTTTTGAGCAATTCTTCATAATGGCCAATCACTTCTGTTGTGGTGTTCTTTAACATGCATATTGACTGCATGTTGAATGTGCATAGAGTTACCACAATGGAATGGTGTAAACTGGTCCTAAGCAGAGTGATAGCTTCACCATTGTGGTGCTATTTCTTCATTATCCAATCAGCAAGCTGCAGGCAAATCAGTGACCAAGCTGTGCTGCTTAGGTGCAGTGGATATAACTGTGTTCACCCACTTTGCTATGCTGTGTGTCAGGGATGAATAGATGAAATGTGTATTTAGCTGTTAAAGCTATTCCGCTTTCAATAGATAATGACTATTACGTTACTGACCAGGTGACTCAGCTAGTAACATCCAACAACTAAACAAACAGACAGATGACTAATCGAACTGCCCATCCTGTCCATCACAAAGTGATTATGAACATGTAGCGCTCATCCCCGGAGCTGCTGGAATATACAGGTCCTCTTAGCCTGTCTAGGGATTTCAGTAGAGTTGCTGCCTCAATAGCACTTAGCAGCCCTCCAGTGGCGACTAATAAACTGAAGTCCACACAGAAGATGTGATGGCTGAAGAACTTTATTATAAAGCTCTGGGAGAGAGGGTAAGGGCACAGGACACCCAGGATGTAATAGACTCCAATAGATGGTATAACAAAATACTTGCAGCCTTCACAGATAGAGGACCTTTAAGCCAATTGTGGCAATCTGTGTCTTGAGCTCCTGGCTATGCAGTACTTGGATCAAAAGATACTAGTCCATTTCAGAAGACATCTCCATAGTGCCACCGAGAAACACTCCTCAGGCTCCCCACACCTGGTGAAGTTGCTCTTGGTCATCTTTAGTCACTAGGCCCCAGACTCAGGCCTTAGTGTGAGCACATGACTTTGTTCCCTAGACTTCAGGCCTAGCCAGGTCAGATATTCCATTGCAGCCTCCCCTCAGGCAGAGGCGTCCCCAGGCCAGGTGTCACTCGCTGGGTTGTCATTACGCACGCGCATGACGACATCACACACACACGCATGTGTGTAATGACATCATGCACACCTAACTGCCGGTGAGATAGACGCGGGCAGAGAGAGAGGAGGGACGTTCATCCAACGGGATAATGTATGGCACCAGGTCCCCTGGTCTCCTATGCAGTTGTCAGACTCTTGCTGCATGACCGAGTGCCCGACATTTCAGAGAGTGGATGGTGTCATCCATTGCGGGTAATGCCCCATGCACCCCTCGTTGTGACACCACTGCCCCCAGGCAGGAGCCCAGGAAAGAAAGAGTACCTCACATGGTCCGCCCCAAATATTTATGTCCTCTCCCAGCATGCACCACTGGCCATGAACCTCCTAGTGATTGGCTAGGGAGACATTTATATTTATAACACTCTATTACTGGTTGCTCTGCTCTGTTGCAAGGAAACTTCCAGCAGCAGGTAGATGCAAACAATAACAGATTGCTTAGGTGAAACCAAATGAGCACAGACTATAAGATCAGTATCAGACTGATTACAATCTTACAACAACTAAATTTAAATAGACATTCCTGTTTATGACAGGGTGGTTACATATGTATGGAGAGTCCCTCCAACAACCCTTTTACCTTAGTAGTACGCCTAGTACACCGATAGTACTCTGAAACCTTATACTCCCCGTAGTACTCTAAACCTTTATACACTGGTAGAACTCCAACCTATTATACAGTGGTAGTACCCTGAACCCTTATCCACTGGTAATACTCAGAACCCTTATACTCTGGTAGTACCCCAAACCCTTATACTCCAGTAGTACTCCAAACCCTTATACACCGGTAGTACTCCAAACCCTTATACACCGGTAGTACCCCAAACCCTTATCCAGCAGTAGTACTCCAAACTGATATACACTGGTAATACTCCAAACACGTATACACCAGTAGTACTCTGAATCATTATACACCAGTAGTACTCCAAACCGATATACACCGATAAAACTCTGAACCCTTATACACTGGTAGTAGAACCCGAAAACCTTATATACCGGTAGAACTCAGAACCCTTATACACTGGTAATAAATTTACTTATTCCAAAGGGTACTTGAGGCCCCACAGCTGCAGGTATTTGGTAAACACTGGCTATTATAAAGGGGTACATACTTTGGGAGTAATATGAACTGGCTGAATGTTAGATAAAAGAAAAGCTTACCTGAGAAGGCTTTACAAAGTCTACCACATCCCACAAACTTTGCTGATATTCCTGGGGGTCTTTAGTAATTGAAGATCCTTTGAGCTTTGTTATAACAGAAGAGTGAGGATCAGAATCACTTTCTTGATATCCCTTCTTTATAATAAACACCCACCTTTTCAATGAAATAAAATACACTCTATCAGGACATATCATATAATAAATGGTTATGATTGTATATATTTACTGAAGGAAATTGCAGGTGATAAAAACACCTTGTCTAAATAAAGGACAGACATAGGGGGGAATTTATCAAAGCAATTGCGACTGTTTTAGCCTCTTAGATCTTTTTTTTAATGTGCAAATCTGTTTAGCCGCTCCTTTTAACATGTGTGCCCATTTTGACCAGAGCTTGCACTATTTTCCAGATTGCGCCTGTTTTGCATGTGTTTTTCGAAAGTTCGCAACTGTTTACTTTTATTAAGTATTAAGTATTTTATTAATTTTCTAAAATAGAAAAAAACAATAAAATAGCACATGATGCACAATCAGTATAGCATACAATTGCATTTCAGATTCTTCCACATTAGCATAGTCAAGTAGTAGGGGGGGTGGGATCACTAGAAGCCATACACTCAATATATAATAGTTCTGTAAAACAGATCATATCTATCACCCTATTCTTGCCAATTTATCCCCCATCAGCAAAAACAAAACTCAAAACAGTCTGAGAGGAATATCTGGCATAGGGATCCGCCTATGTCTGCAGCAAACATTTGTTATGATCTCCTCCTTATCTATATAAATAGAAGACTTTCTGTCCAACATCAATGCACTAAACAGCTCATGTGTACGAGCATAATGAAAAAAAAAAAAAAAAGACAGACAAAAAAAGGAAAAGGAAATAGATGCTAAAGGACGAAGAACAGCTTAAGAGTCCGAAAAGAGTAGCTCCATCCCCGATCAAATAGCCCAACATCTACTTAAACATTAAACATAGTCCCCAGAGAAAAATTCCAGAAAGATTGTTCAATGGAAATTACCCGGTTTCCAGCACCCCTGTATATAACAACCAGGGGGTCCAGGTCAATTCAAAGCTTTTTTTAGTATCTTGGAGGATGCTGTGAAGTTTCTCATGGACCATAATCCACGACATTTTTTGTTTAACCAAGTGGAATGGAATTGTTGGGGTTTTTCAAGCCCTAGCTATGGTTATTTTGGCTGCCAACAAGTTTACAGGAGTCCCACCGAGACATATCCTCCCGGAGTTGGTGAAACAGGGGTATATCGTTTTTCTTATATAGTTGTAAAAAGACAGTTGTAAGTTTAATCCCTAGATATTGCAAAGCCTCCGTGGACCAGGTAAAATCAAAATGTTCCGACAACCGAGACCACACTTCCTGAGGGATGTTGATATTAAGAGCCAATGATTTGGATGCATTGACCCGCAATCCAGATACCCCCGCAAATTGAGTCAACAATGCCAGAACATTAGGAAGTGTGGTCAAGGGTGAAGTGACAATCAGGAGCAAGTCATCCGCAAATAAAGCACACTTATGCTCCTGCCTACCACAACCCACTCCCTTAATATTAACATTAGCAACGATCGCAATCGCTAGGGGTTCTATCGCTAATGCAAAAAGCAGTGGGGAAAGTGGACAACCTTGACGTGTGCCTTTAGAGATAGCTATGGAATCAGAGATGTGGCCCTGTAGCCTAAGTTGTGCTGATGGAGTGGTGTATAAGGCCCGCAACGTATTCAGAAAGAGGGGGCCAAAGCCCCATTTCTCAAGCAGCTGGAAAAGGTATTGCCAAGACACTGAATCAAAGGCTTTTTGTAAGTCTATAGACAACGGAAGCCCAGATTGTGATTGCCCTCCATACCACCCTGACTGCAATAAGGTGATAATATCAATGGCCCTTCTAATTTGATCGGGACCTTGCCTACCCCTAATGAATATAGGATGGCAGGAAGGAGCTCAATCGATTTTGTCCTTTCAATAATAAATATTGTCCCTCGGGGTCTCCTATCACCAGCAACGAGCGAAATGAGACATTTTTAGCAAGGCAAATTTTCCAGATGTTGGACCATAGCGGAATATAGGGTGGACCACCCCTGCGGACTCAAAGAATAAACTAAGAAAAAAGAAAGAGGGAAGAAAAAGACAAAGAGGACCAACAAAACAATACAAAAATATAAATAAAAAACACCAACAGAAAAAAACAAAACAAAAAAAAAAATACCCATACAAACAATTATCCCCTTTAGGCTTATCGGAAAAAATTCTCGACCCTTGTACCCTTAGGAGGGTACCTGCTGGGGTTCATTGCCTATAGAGGGGATATGTGATGGCCTTTCCAAAGACCAACCCAGGAGAGAAAGCAACTCATTAGTATATTAAAATAAAATAAAATAAAAAAGACAAAAGAGGATAAGAAAGCAAAAGATAAGGGAAGAGAGAGGGAGAGGCGAGAAGATCTTGTTTTGTTTGTGCGTTTTTTTTCTTTTCCTATCTCTCTCTTTCTTTCTCTCTCAGTTCGCAACTGTTTAAATCTGCGCTCTTCCTGCGGCTCTCTGAAACGGACGCTTCACCTAACAAAAAATCGCTACTTAAGAAGTCCCCATGACCACGTCTTCAAGAAGCGACAGTTAAGCTTTTTGCCTGGAATTACGAGTCTTCTTTGGAGTCTTTGGAGTCTTCTTTGGAGTCTATTTAATCTCATTTATGAACAACATTACACTAGCAACATAAATCTGGCACAAATATATCCTATGCGACTATATGCAAGCTCAAACACTAGCAATTGCTATGATAAATTCCCCCCATTGCGTTTTGGTGATATGTCAAAATGCTTACCAATTTGGAATCCAGCAAGAGTGAATATTTTCTTTATATAGCAGCCTACACGAAAGATGTTTTAACTAGAAAACTCTGAAATAGACCTGTGCAGACATCAACCAAGTCCTGAAATTTTGTAGCAACCAGTTGGAATATCTGAAAGTTATTTGAACCCCATATATATTTGGTAACATTGTGTAAACATCAGCATTAAAGGAGAACTATGGGGTTAAGGCTTTTCCCCATAGTTCTCCTTAGGGTAATGGGAGGACACACACTATCGTCCTCCCGTCACCCTAGGCTCAGTATACCGCGAGCTGTAGCTCACCTCCCGATCTACTGAGCCAACCTGTGACAGTCTCATTGTCACAGGCCGGCTAGAACTATGAAGTGAGTGAAAAGCACTTACCTCATAGTTCTCCTTTAAGTAATTCTTCATAATAGCCAATCACTTGTGTTGTAGCGTACTTTAACACACAGAAGCACATATACTGCACGTTGAATGAGCATAGGGCTACAATAGACTGGTATAAAGTGGTCCTAAGAAGAGTGATAGCTTCACCAGTATGGCAATGCTTCTTCATCCTACAATCAGCAAGCTGCAGGGAATTTAATGACCAAGCTGTACTGCTTAGGTGCAGTGGATACAAATGTAGTCATGCACCTCGCTGTGCTGTCTGTCAGGAATGAATAGATGAAATGTGTATTTAGCTGTTAAAGCTATTTGGCTTTAACAGCTATTCAGTTTAATTCAATTTGGTCAATGGTTACATTCTCAGAAGACAATTCATATGTGTCTAATAAAAGAGATGAGTTGGCAAACCTACTGTGCTCATTGCACAATGTGCATGCTTGTTTTAAGTGTATTCACTAGGTAAAGTTCATGTGGTAGTGTTAGGCTCCAAGTATAATGTTTGGTTATCTTTGTGTGTTTTCATGAATGGGAAAGAATTATTAAAGTGCAGGTTTCTCTGTAAGTGTCACCATTAATACTACAGTGCATGCACTCCGGCACATTACGAAGCACAATAGGAAAACCCATCATGGTGCAATTTTGTCATGTTGCCTTGAGTGGGGACAGAAAGTCATCCTAGAATAATAGCTCTCATTGCCCTGGGTATTTGTTTGGGCACCTAGCTACATCACTAGAACCATTCAGAATTAATAGCTAATATACAGCGTCAATGTAGAGCTCTAAAGACTATACTTGCATTTTCCAAGAGTTAAAAATTACAGTCACAATGTCACTTTGCTCTTTGCTATCAAGCCAAATCAATTACTGCTACATCCATACTCTTCACTATTGTAGCCCATTGTCTTTTATGGAGTTCTCCTTCTCACATCCTCTAGCTGCTTGTGTTAGAAAATCATATATAACTCACCCAATAATATAACATAAAATGCCCAGATGAAGCAGGCGAAGAAACACTCCAACCTTCCTGTTCTTTGTCAGCACGTATTTCTCTGTCTTGTAATCTAAGATGGGTGGAAAAGATTTGGTACAAGCTGCTTCCATTACTGCTCAATGCACAGAATGACTCTGCTGTTTCCCTGCTCTTCACTAAGTTAAAGGGACAGTCTCGCTGTATCTGTGGTCACCACATTTCAAGGACGCAGAGCTGAGATTCTACCAAATATTAAGGCAATTTAGGTTTATTACATCTGACAATTTGCAACTTGACTATTTAAAATAATTTGCAGAACCATTCACCCTGTGAATTGAATATCTGTGAAAGTGCACTAAGGCCTATAAACATATAAGAAATGAGCCAATGATCAGGGAAGGCAGAAAAAAAAACCCAGACGTTTGGGGCATATGGAAGATAGAGCAGAAACCAAAAACAGTGCAGAAACTGGTCAGAAACCTAGAGTCATAACTAGTAACAGGTATATAAGGATGAGCTGAAAACAGATGGAGACACTTGCCAATAACAGTGGGAAATGTAGGAGGTAAGCGGATCCAAGTACACATAAGCAGCCTGACAGGTCAAGAAACAGACATATCTGATCAAGCACTGAGTGCTCTGATCCCATTTTTAGCCTTACTCATTAAGGTCAGGTGTGCATCTGTAGCATGACCACACTACATATCATCCAGTAGATGGCAGGAGCATGTGCAAGCACACCTGATGGAGGACACATTGATGGAGAAGTGAGGGGCTAGCCACTCACATCTATTAGTGATGTACAACCAAGGGCGGATTGTTAAGGAAAGGCTCCAGAGACACATAGGAGAAAGTACGATGAGACATCGCAGGAGGGTGGAGCAGAGAGAGGGTGCAGGGGCACGGCCACATATGAGAGCAAACCAGTGAGAGGCATGGCAATATAGGGAAGGGGAGCAGAAAGAGTGTGCAGTGACACAACCACACAGTAAAGTGGCATTGCCACAGAGGAGTTTGATGATACAAAATGTAATCTGTGAAGGCTACAAAGATAAAGGAAAGGGGAGCATTGGGGAACAGCACAGACATGGCCACATATGAGAGGAAGGGGTGCAAGCAGGGACATAACCAGAGCTGTAGCTAGCTCCTTTTGAGCCCGAGGCAAGAACAGAAAATTCTGCTGCCCCAGCAGGTGTGTGGAGTCACCTGACGCCGTGCACTTGTGCTGTCATGTGACATCATGTGCCCGTCTCCAGGATGGCGGCGCACATGTGCAGTACGCGCCGGTGGCCAAATCCAAAATAGTATAAAAAATTATTTTAGTTTGACAAAACTAATTAAAACATTTTTAGTTTCCGTTAATTTTGTCCAAAACAAATTCTTAGTTTTTGAACGTGACTTATATGTGTGCGTGTGTTGTGTGGGGTTTTTTTTCTTTTTATTTCTTTTTTGTTATTTGTGGTTATTTTTTTTAATTTTTTTTACTGTTGGGGGACTCTGTTCTAAATGAATGGAAAGCACTCAGTACAGAGGCTTCTCATTAATTCAGAAACCGGAGATAGTAAAATATTTACTATCATCCGGTTATGAATGGGGAGAAGCCTCTATACTGAGGGCTACTACCCATTCATAAATTCATGAATGAACAGGATGTAAAGCACTTCCTGTTCATTCGTAACCGGGGACACATAGTACTATCCCCAGTTGTTTACAAACATTGCAGTGATCACCTAATCACTCTAGCATTTGTGCTGCACACCGAGGATTGGTAAATATCACAGATATTTACCGATCCTCCGCTCTCCATCTTGAGTCGCTCGGCCATGCACAGAGCTGCACAGGAGAAATGAGGCTGAGGCCGGCGGCTGTGGAGGGAGTGCTGTCACTTTACGATGACTGAGGAAGTGGTGAGGAAAGAGAGAGCTGGAAATACATTTCTGCCCTTAATTTTCCAGTTAACTGCTCTGTTGTCATTAGCTCACCAATCTTTTTTGTCATATCGGATTTGAGGACATTTTGTGTAAATTCTAAGCTCTCCTACCCTCGCAGGAGGCACGTGCTAGAGAGGTTGTCTAGCAGTGAGTAACAAAAAAAGCAAAAAACCACAGTTGTAGCAATCATTTAATTATCAGGCTATTCTAATGATTATATACTGTACTCCGATCAGCCATAACATTATGAGCACTGATAGGTGAAGTGAATAACATTGATTATCTTGTTACAATGGTGTCTGGAAGTTGGTGGGATATATTAGGCAGCAAGTGACCATTTTGTCCCTGAAGTTGTTGTGTTAGAAGCAGAAAAAATGGGCAAGCATAAGGATTTGTGCAACTTTGGCAAGGGCTAAATTATGATTGCTAGAGGTCTGGGTCAGATCAACTTCAAAACTGCAGCTCTTGTGGGATGTTCCCGGTCTGCAGTGGTCAAGACCTATCAAAAGTGGTCCAAGGAAGGAAAACCGGTGAACCGGCAACAGGGTCATGGGTGGCTAAGGCTCATTGATGTATGTGGGGAATGAAGGCTGGCCCGTGTAGTCTGATATAATAGAAGAGCTACTGTAGCTACTGAAAAATTATTGCATATGGGCCTACGTAACCACAGACTTGTCAGGATGCCCATGCTGACCCTTGTCCACCACCCAAAGAGCCTACAATGCGCAGGGGAGCATCAGAACTGGACAACGGAGCAATGGAAGAAAGTGGTCTTTTAATGTGTATAGCCAGGTGCGTGTGTGTTGCTTACCTGGGGAAAGATGGCACCAGTATGCACTATGGGAAGAAGGCAAGCTGGCAGAGGCAGTGTGATGCTTTAGGCAATGTTCTGCTAAGAAACCCTGGGTCCTGCCAATGCCATTCATGTGAATGTTACTTTTATACGTACTACCTACCTAAATATTGCTGCTGACCAATTACACCCCTTCACGGAAACAGCATTCCCTGATGGCATTGGTCTCTTTCAGCGGGATAGTGCGCCCTGCCACACTGCATAAATGGTTCAAGAATGGTTTGAGTTTGAAATGTTGATTTGGACGCCAAAATCTGCAGATCTCCATCCAATCGAGCATCTGTGGTATATGCTAGGGAAACAAATCTAATCCATGGAGGCTCCACCTCGCAATTTACAAAACCTAAAAGATCTGCTACCGACGGCTTGGTACCAGATGCCACAGTATACCTACAGAGGTCTAGTAGAGTCCATACCTCAATGGGTCAGGGCTGTTTTGATGGCAAAAGGGGGGCCTACTCAATATTAGGCGGGTGGTCATAATGTTATGGCTGATTGGTGTAATTGTTAGTGCTTGTACACACAAATGCTCTGTAACCTCAATGCAAATGTCTTCTAACGCAGTGGTTCTCAACCTGTGTAACTTCAGGACCCACATTTGTCCTCGGTCATTAAGTCGTGACCCAAGTCGCACGGCAATGGAATGCACGGAATTGCGCCACTGCGCATTCAGGTGCGGGCAATCGAACTGTGGGTGGGAGGTGCGTTTGGGGTGCCATTGAGATGAATGGCAACACAACACACCTCCCCAACCAAAACACACGGTAGGTCCACCCAGTCTCCCTACCTCACAAGAACTGAAGTGGATCCTCAGCCTGGGGTCCAGTGTGGGCTGCTGTGCTGTGATGGAGATCCATCCATATGTGCATTGCTTGTACAGCTCCCTTGCGTGCACTGTAGAGGTGCCGGGAGCCAGAATGTGACGTCACTCCGGTCCAGGCACCTCTACAGAGCACGTAAGGGAAATGTAAGCAACGCACGTATGGATGAAGCTCCCTCGTGGCCATAGCCCCATCCCACCTCAATCTGACACTCGGACATAATTTGAATAGCTGCTTGGTGCGAGAACCAACAGTGCTGCACTAGGGGGAGGCAGAGGAGCCTCTCACCTACACAAGTGGAAGGCGTGTGGCGACCCACTGAACATGGGGTCGCGACCCACTTTTGGGTCACAACCCACCAGTTGAGAACCAAGGTTCTAACGCAAGTTTTTTTTTTGCAGAGCTACAAACCACAACTGTCTTATCGGTTATCAGGCTGCTAGTGAGGAAACACTCTGGGATTTTTGATGCCTCAGTAAGACTGTTTTAGGCATATGGGGTTATTTCAGTGTTGGTTGGGGCTGTAGCAGAAGTTCTGAGGGCAAGAAGTCTACACTGCTGAGACAGTTAAACAAATGCTTCATACTGCAGATAAACCAAAGGGTCTAACAAAGATCCTTATGACTCCTTCCTGTGCGCCTGATGTCAGCTCTTCTACATTGCAGACTTCATAGTTTAATTTGCCTCAGTAGCCTCCCTAATGGGGTCCCTTCCCATTCCCAGGTCCCATAGCAGCCACTTAGGCTGCTAGGGCTATAGTTACCTTACTGGGGGCAAGACCACAGAGATGCAACCATACAGAAGAGGATAAGGCATAGAGCAATGAGAGGTTGCAGAGATACCAAATGACACAAGTATAGGGCATAGCAAGCAAGATGGACAGATATTGCTAGACAACAGAGGGCAGGAGGAGTAGATGTCAAGTGACATGCTCTATGGCCAATCACAGCCCTCAGGACAGCACATGATGCAGAGAGAGAAGTGGACAGTGCCAGTGCTAAACTCTGCACAGGCACCAAGACGTTTATGACTGTCACCTCCTCTCCCTTAGTCAACATAAGGGAGAGGAGCTACAACTTTAGTGCCTGTTGTGATAATTCAGTATAAATTACTCCACAGTGCCTGCAACTCAGTGGCGTCACAAGGGGGGTGCGGGATGTGTGGGCCGCACCCGGGTGATACCATTGGAGGGGTGACACCAAAATGACTGTCAGTCATTTTGGTGTCACCCCCTCTAAAAAGTCTGGCACTTGGTCGTGGACTGAGAACCCGACAGTGTCAGGAGAGAGAAGGAGACCCGGTGGCATCCCTCATGCCGCCGGTTGAACGTCCCCTCCTCTTCCTGCTGGCGCCCATCACCAAGATGGCCGCTGGCAGGCGTTAATTAGATGACCACGCATGCGCGATAACATCACAACGGGGTGTCACCCGGTCTCTGCTCCCGGTTACACCCGGCCACGGGACACCCCTGCTGCAGCTACAGAGGTTGGGCACACTTTCTCATCAACATATGACTAAGCAGGTCTGAGCAAGGATCACTATTCTTTGCCCACTGTATTCCTACACAGGTTGTCCTTATCAGAGGGAGAACAAAAGGTACTTACACACTGCAGCCTGAAGTGTGGTTTCAAAGTGACAGGTTCTCTTAAAAGCTGAACTTTAGGATAAGTAAATATTGTCTAAATACAAGAATCTTGTGTATTCATACTTGAATCCTGGTGTGCTTTGTGTATTTCTTCCAGATCTGGGCAGTAATCCAGTGTGAACCTTTACCTCTGTGCAGGAGCTTCCTGTAATAAAGACTGGTCACTACTGATCTCTCTCCTTGTGCAGGGTGACTGGTCTTGTATCTGCCCCCTTCTGTAGTCCGAATGCAGCCTGTAGTGGGTGAGGCCTCTATATGCATCACAGTGATAATGTCACTGCTTCTTTTACAAGGTAACAACAAGGCTTGCAAAGACATTTAGTGCACCCAAAGTCTATATTTAAATAAATGTTTTTGTGCCCGGAGTTCAGCTTTACACCCAATGCACAAATAAAAACAACTTTTATGCTTCCCAGATCACTTTTTCCTGTGTTTAGATGTTCCCGAGTTTAGCTGCGTTTACATGCATTTAACCGCGTAAAGGGACAAGAATCTATCCTGAACTGCAGGTAACTGTTCCATGTACAATCACCTGCGGTGCGGACACACGTGAACAGGTGTAGCCGCTGTCAGCCTGTTATTCACTTGCATGGGCACAGTGGCTCCATGTGTACAGAACCACCTGGGTCCGCTGGTTCTTACCGCAGGAATCCGCAGCAAATCCCGTGACAAACTGCATGTGAAGCCGTGCAATGCAAAGCAAAGCCGTCAGGCATGGAGGTTTGCCTGCAGTGTGTGAGCTGAGCGCAGCCAGATGAAAGACTGCATTTTCAGCCAATCACCTTGCGCGTAACAACGCATCCTGATGCGCGGGTTTGCAGGCGCAAGCCGATTGGTTGAAGATGACATTTTTCTCACAAGCTGACGTGTCGGAGTGAAAATTACATGACAGGCTGCACACGAAGGTCCGCGCACCACCGCTCCGCATGCAGTGTGTCACAGCCTTAAAAGCTTAGTGTGCATGAGGCCCTAATTCTTGTGTGCATGGAGCCTTTTACCATTTAAGCACATGTTCCTTTAAAAGCATGGTTCTTAATGCACTTTTATTTAGAAAGCATAGTATGATTGACTGACTTCCTGTATATATAAATATATTCATAATCAACGATTTATTTCTACATTACAGTTCAAGGCATACAGCACATATGAAAAGAACTAATATTGACGGAAAACAAGGATAGGCTAAAGTGTTCGTTCTCCGTAACACTTCATAAACGGCTACTGTACGCCCCTCGCCTACACAAGATTCTTCACTCTTCATCTACTCCCAACCAAAATATTTCCTACGTTCCCCACCCTGTATTACAGGTTTCAGCCAGGAAGCCGCAAGCATCCCATGCCCAGCCTCTCCATAGCAACACATCACATGTCCCTGCCAATAAGTCGCAGCCCCTAGCAACAACATTCTTAGCAACAGCAGGGCGTTATCGTTGGTCCAGCGTTTAGCTTAGATAACCCCGCCCCTTCAAAGAGACAAACCAATCATTTAAATGATTCTGAATCCAGTCCTCGACGCGGCCACGCCTCTCATCACCTCGCTTATTGATTAGTGAAGTCGAGATGTGAGTGGCAGGGTTGTCAGCCAATCCAGAGAGTGCACGGTGCATTCTGCGTAATATGACCTGAGCCACCGCTGTTTATTGTTAGCCGGACATCATTATTTCCCCTTTATATATGTGTACGTAGCACTGTGATATGCTGGTGGAGTTGCTGCTGCAAAGATGTGCGAAGATATAAACGCACGTCCAGATGCAGGTATCCTTTTCCTATAGTACGTAATCAGGTCACTATTTATTTAGTGCTAGCTGGAGGCTTTGTTAGATAACATGCATTGGTTCTTATAGTGTATGGACAGTATGTGTAATATATATATATATATTTATATATATATATATATATATGTGTAAAAAATGTAACAGTATTTATAGAAGGTGAAAACATCAGACATGATGACCATGGTTTTTACAAGAAATATAGTGATCAGGAAAATCCCCTAGGGCTCATACACATGGGCGTAATGAAATACTGATCATCTATGCAGGAGATGCCTGGCAGATGTTTCCTGCATGAAATAAAGAAAACACATGAATTGGTCTGTAAAGTCCTTGAGGTTACACACATGTACACACATAAACATCCGTACAACACTTCAAGCATAAAATTCTACTTCCATTCTAATACATTTACATTCGTATGCATGTACATGCGTTTACATGGTTCTATATGTTTACACGTGTAAATGACTGACCTCAGATGCAGACTTTTCTATTTTGGTCTCACGGACATGAACACAGCGCAAGTTTAGTGATTGTAACCTTTGAGGAGCATTCCTCCTGCTCTGTTTTCCTGTTCCGATTTCATTTATGCACTTACACATTTGTAAATACATGCGTAAACATCCAATTAGACATGTACATGCGTAAAATGTATGTCCTCAGATGCAGATTTTTCAATTTTGCGTTATGGATCTGAACGTAGAGCACATTTTTGCACCTGTGTGCATGGCGTCATTAAAAACAATATACACTGTACCTGTGTTCTGTTTGCATTCTGTTTATGTACGGCCATTCTGTTTATGTACGGCCATGTGCATATTGTAAAGCGCTGCACAAACTGATGGCACTATACAAATCCTGTTTCATAATAATCTTTACACACTGTGGGCATGGACCCATAGAAAAAACAAAATAAAAATGCTGTTCTGATAAAAGTGTAGTTTCTTTATACGGCTGTTATGCATGCCCCCAAAGGTTGGCACTATGGTGCCATGGCAGTGAAATGATGATGGTGATGTACAGATAAAAGTGCAGCTTTTTTTTATACAGCTGTGTGTATGACCCCCAAAGGCTGGCATTATAGTGTCATGGCAGTGAAAGGACGATGGTGATGTACTGATGAAAGTGCAACTTTTTTATACGGCTGTGTGCATGACCCCCAAAGGTTGGCACTATGGTGCCATGGCAGTAAAATGATGATGGTGATGAAAAGATAAAAGTGTAGCTTTGTTTATACAGCCGTGTGCATGACCCCCAAAGGCTGGCACTATGGTGCCATGGCAGTGAAATGATGATGGTGATGTACTGATAGGTGACAGTCTAACCACATGTCTTTCTCTGTGCTACATTAGGAGGGATCGCTTTTCACAAACTGTTTGTTTTTCCAGGGCACGGGGTCTAAATTTGGAAAGGTGACATGTCAGGGATGGGATGTGCCTGCCAGTGGAGGCAGGGCTGTGCTGTGCCAGTCCTTTGCATTCTCTCCACAATTACTTCCTCGTTTGACATCCATGGAAGGAAAACACAGGAAGGAGACAGCGTGTTCGTCAGCCGGCTCATGAATCATCCCCGGCACAGGCAGACATGAATGCTCTGTTATGTTCTGGGGAGTATTATGTTGCTATGACACCGTGATTAATGGAGGGTTGTTATGTGTAAAGTGCCTGTGTTTAGTGCTGAATGAGTGTTGCGATCCTCCAGCCTCTCTACTGCATACACAGCAGCTGTGGCGGTGAGTGCATGGCGTAAGGTTTGGGAAGGAGGAGTTCAGATCACTGCTCACATCATCATCATCATCATCAGCACTAGATCAGATGTTTACACTCAGCTCCTGGGGACTGATTCACTGAAACATGTCTGCTGCGCCAATAGTAAGCCTGACACTTGCTTTGTTCTAGCCTGAGGACGAGTGAAGGTGAACAATGGCTGAAGTAGAGTCTGCCTGAAGGACTGGAATCTAGGACAACAGTCAAGGTAGGGGTGCTTCTTCTTCTGTTGTAGCCGGAGGCTTAGAGTGGGCTGTGATTGATGTCTTGTGTTCACGTACAGCTCTGCTGTCTGACAGGTTAACAATGTTTCTTATATGCAGCACAGGCTTCGGTTAAATGAAAGACAATATTTTTGAGAAGACGCTGATCGGTGGTGACAAGTGAAGAAGCCATTGTTGTGTTTTGAGAAGAGCCCCAGGGATGACCTGAGTTTTCCCTATCTGGAGGTCTTTGAAGTCTTTAAAGAGTACAGGACTGCTGAAAAGTCTCATGTGCTTAGCATCCAGCAGGAAAGATGAGGTTGAAATGGAAGCTACTGATAGAGCGTCTCCTCCTTCTATCATACACAGCAAACAAGAAGAGCCACCTCAGAAAAGTTGTACCACCAAACTCTACCTAGTCGCGGCAGTGATTGTCTGGTTAGTGACCGGTACAACCATCTCTAGCCTAAACAAATGGATATTCACTGTTTACAACTTCAGGTATCCTTTGTTGCTGTCCTCCCTTCACATGCTAACTGCTATCCTGTTAGACTATCCCATCCTCAGGTTTGGATTGGTACCTGTAAACAGTGAGGAAGAGCAGACGCTGAGTACCAGCGCACGATTTAAAGTGTTCCTCATGAGTTTGACCTTCTGCTCCAGCATTGCCTTTGGGAATCTTGGACTGAGCTGTGTTCAGCTTTCTTTTGCACAGATGATCTATACCACAACTCCTATTTTTACCCTGGTTCTTTCTAAACTGTTCCTGGGTTCCAAACATCATGCCTTTAAGTACACTGCCATGATACCCATTTGCTTGGGAGCTTGCTTTAGTATTATTGGAGAGGTGCAGTTCGATCAGACAGGATGCATCTACCTTTTTGCCTCAACTTTTCTCAGGGGGGTGAAGTCCATTCAGCAGAGTAAGTCATTTTACCTAAATATAATTCTGTCACTATTCTTTATTATTTTGTGTTCTTTTATTCGCTGGCATTTAAATTGAACATGTGCCCAGACTTAAATGTACACTAAAATATTTACATATTCTGATAAAGCACTAGTTTAATACATGTCCCATTCACCTCTGTAGCTAGAGGCATTGTGGAGAAATTCATCTTTAAATTTCACAACAGATGCACAGAAATCTAAGCTATTTTCTAAGGAGAGCAGAATCTTGCCAACCTGCCAGCCCCCCCCCCCCCCCCCCCACACACTCTCTGGGGTCTCTCAT